TAGAACGCTGCTAAACCTTTCATGGTAACGTAGACAATGCAGTAGAAAGTCGAGTTAAAATTCATACTGACCACTAAAATTTAAGTCCATTGTAGTAATATAGCCCCCAATTTAAGGAGTACAACAACGAAGGAGGAAGGTTTGTAGAGTAAGTTGAGTGGATCGAAAAGAAGTTGAAGTGAGAAGCTAGATGTCTGCTTGTTTGTTTGTTTGTCTGTCATATTTGCTATTTATGTTAGAAAAATCGTCTCGATTAAGGGTTCCTTTTTTATTAAGGCGTATTATTTATTATCTTATAATAATGATATCAAGATATTTGGGGCTTGACAAAGCACTTGTCCGTAATTACTTGAAAATTAGTGTCACAAACCAAGGCAAGACAGCAGTCAGGAATAAAGGGATTCGAATACGCATTTAGTCGATAGTCGACATGTCGAGAATTAGGTGAGCTAGGTTAACAAGTTGCTGTGAGGCACGTGCAGCACGACGTACCTAGTGGCGACTTAGTGCTGATGAGCGTGTAGTGGAATGCTTTTACGAATAGAACACAATTTCTGAAATGGAACTACTTATTATTGTATACAGTCATAACCATAACTGTTTTATTGTACCCCTTTTTGTTTAAATGTACAAAAGACTATAACTCGCTCACCAAGCGTGTTCCAACTGTTGCTCGTTTCCTTGGTGGTTGTTAGCTGCTGCTTTATTCCGGTCTTGCTATCTTTTCGACATCACGAGACCACGAATCAATACACCTCGTCATCCAATCACGGTCTTCCTTTTGATCTCTGGATTTAATGGGATTCTACTTGGTAATCTCGCGATAAATAGTCTCAATCTCATTACAAGCAAAAAGGTATCTTCATCACGACTGCGTCCAACGAAACAAATAGATTCAACGCAAACATCGAATATTAACGGAACTATTTTGTATGTGTTTTTATCTACCACTACAGCTAATTTGATTGTATCAGGGAAGCACTACCCTACGATGTGACCAGCCAAAATCCTAAAACTGAGAAACATCTTGGTGATGGCTTACTACGTCCCGAAGTATTTGGCCGTCCCTTTCTACTTTATGTAACCGTATGACATATTCGTATTTTTCATCAAATACGAATAGAAAATGAATATGTGTGTTAAAGTACGTTTCTAATTATGTACGGGAGCAAAATAAGAAGGGGAACCAGGTGTATATGTGCGTAAAGTCAGTATTGCAACGAAAACAACTGAATATCAGGTTCTCGATTTCGGAAAAGAAATAAACACATGTGCGCGTTTAAAATTCTTTGATTGTCTTTTGATAAATAACTCAGTATATTTAAAGAAATCGATTCAGTCATGTATTACTGTATTTCAAAGGGCGATTGATATGTTTGTGATTTTCCGCTCTCTTTGTGTATATCTTAAGAGCGAAACGTGGTTAAAGTAGGCGTTCAGCAGCGCAGCCGGAATAGGGAATCTATTGACTGATGTGTTTAATCTTGAACTGGTATCGCCTAGCAAGAAATCCTATTGCAAACTGACTTGGGCAACTATGTTAAAGTGAGCTTCACTTGTGACTTCATGTGAGAAATGGTAGTAAAAATAAAAAGCGAAGTTATATGACTCGTGCACTAAAACAGTTTGTCCTTTCCATTACATTCCAACTTCTCTAAAATCATTTATGGTCTGGTATAGTAAACACCAATAGCATTTATAACAACTTGATCTTACGTGCAAAATGTCATGCCTCATGTATGAATGGTAAATACTGTCACTATTACCATTTATAAACATGGTTAGGAAGTAATGAGGTCGAGCAAACCTCCATGCAACCAACACTTCTCCAAAGTTATGTTTACTTTCCTTCAGTAAGCCTACTAGTGCAGATGTGATTAGAAATCAGAACACAAGCAAAACATAGTAGTATAAACACCAACCGACTATCTAATTTAAACCAAAGATAGTGCTACTATAAGTATTCCCACTGCACTGATTGGTTTGTCCTATTTGATAATTATCAATCTAAGCAATATGCACCATTACTTCACACATACCGAACTACTAATCACTGGTTATCTCTATACATTTTAGTGTAATTTACTTAAATATCTTTAAAATAAATCATTCTGTATTAACATAATCCCAGTTTGTCTAAAGTTCTAATAATGTGTAGATGAATTTTCGTTTGGAGCATGTTAAGGAAAAAAACCAAGCATTTTCCAATTACTACACATGTCCTCTGATTAGTTACTGACACCTTCTTGAATAATGTTTCATTTCACCAATATCTGGAGCATTTTAGTCGTACGTTGACAACCTTCGGCCAGCAAAAACTTCATTGGTTTTTCATCGATTCAATGTCACTGTGCTTCTAGTAGAAGAATGACGTAATGTCATCACTTCCTAAACATTTAAAATATTTGTCACCCGGTTGGTGATCTCTGGGAGTTTGAGAACCGCAACATCTATACTGTGAGCATTCAGTGATTCAGCCTATACATAGAGTACTAAGTCTTTGTGAATCATTCGTACTGCATAGTTAAATCGAAACACGAATTTTCCATCTAATTTATGCGGTTCTCGTTCAAAACCGAAAAGTTATGTCTGATAATACAAGTGCTCCACTGTATTATTCAGGTAGAAAGTATAGCGAAAGAGTCTAATTGACGCAGCCGATAAATATTTGAAAGTGAATAACTTTATTAATAACAAAAATGTTCTATCTACCAAAGGAGGAAAGACTGGCAAAAAATTTTCGTTAGACAGCATCCACCAGTCACTCCAAGCTCTAACACCGGGCTCAGTCATTTAATACCTTATTGTCGATTATCCAACAATGTACGATAACAAGATTAACATGTACAAAAACCTCTATAGTCAGTCGTATAAGAAATGTCTAGTCAAAGAAGGTTGGACAGAATGAAAATATTGTTAGATGAGTCCCAGATAAATGTTAGCAGTTCAAAGTGGGGTTTAAAAAGTTCTCTATCAAATAGTGTGGGTTGATCTCGCTTAGTAATTCTACTAATGGTTACCACTACATTACAGTGAGTAGCCACTTAAGAATAGAACACTTTAAAGTACCTCGCTATTCCTCATACTAATCCTGTCCTATTTGATTCTCCCCTCCAACTAGCGCGATGACAATAATTTCAGTAGATTATTATAAGGGTGCTCTAGACAGGCAAAAACGTGAGTTATTTTGTATTTATTTACCTTGAATGATATATAAGGATATTAGTGAACAGGGCAAACAGCTATTGAAGTCGCTATCTATAGCTTCAGCAAATCTGTTATGTCTTGAATAAATAACGTATCTCACACTATTTCGCCTCGTGTAAAATTTGTCTTTTTACAATTTTTGTAAATGTCTATGACGTTATTTCCCTTCGATGACAAAGTAACTTATAACTATAATCCTCTTACCGTGCTCACTATTATTGTCCTAGAACTTGTTTAAAGGCAACCGAAAAACCCTCTGTTCACCGATGCGTGACCTGTTCAGGAATTCACTGGAGTCACACCAATTTTCAGCTAAATCGAAACAAGCTACTCTCTCTACAATCTTCAAAGGAGGATATAGGACGGGCCCAGCTTTACTCCCAATACTATCGAAGGTAATAGATGGGCTGGTGAACGAACAAATGAAGGAGTAGATGGATGAGAACAAAACCCTACATGAAGCTGAATACGGATTTCGGCAAGGCCGGTCGTGCGCAACTAATCTCCTGATATCATGGGACAGTTAGACATCCTAATGAGACTGGAAAATACCGATGTAGATAATATATGCAGACTTTGCGAAAGCCTTCGACACCCAACGCACGCGTAATGGCGAAGTTTGAAGAAATGGGACCCACTGGCCGACTGATCACTTGCTTAAGAAAAAACCTTGAGAATAGAAAGCTTCATTCCAAAGAAGACAGAGTGCACGTGAGTTGGCAAGTCTTAGTTTCCAATAGGACCACCTTAGGTCCCCTTCTGTTCCTGATATTTATTAACGAACTGTAGAATCCGATCCGATGACTCTGTTTTGGGAAAATCCCTCCACGTACATATTTGTAATATGTTCTTACAGACTATTTCTGTGCTGCATTTTGGTACTCTGTTTAAACCCATTTTGTGATGTTAATATTTGTATTTCGTTAGGGTTTCTAATTTTTGTACCTTTATTGGAGTTTCCATGTTTTCTACTGAACTGTATTATGCTGTTTGAATTGATACTCAATTATGGAGTCAGCCATATCGGGTTTGACACCCTGGGCACTTGAACTTTGAATCTGGACAGGAAGGGTGCATTTTCGGAAGCATTCTTCCGGAACTGAAAACACATTTTGTTAAATTGTGTTAAGGAACAGTGTAATATTGTTTAGGTAATTATTTATATTAAGTAATTAATAATAGAACCGTTTCTTACCCAGATAAATTGCCTTTTGGTTGGATTAACTGGGAAAAGCATGTATCTAACTTCTTCCACTGTTCTTCCGAATTCAGAAACCACTGAAAAACCCCAACACGACTTGTTAGACAAAGTCAGCTCGGTGGAATTGATCAACAAATACGATGCAAAGATCCGGAGGTTCTTGAAAAGAGGAGAGGATTCGACTGAGCTCCAAAAGGGCCTTACATGCAATGAGGAACGTTTTAAACTGAACCGGTCGAAATGCCACTTCATGAACATCGTTCCCCATATGATGCGAACGATTTGAACACTCAACGGAAGTCCAATCCTTAGTGTCTCTCCAGAGCGCGACCTCGATTTATTAACCAAATATAGGGGACGCAGAGAAGGCTTACGCAACTCTTCACTTTATGCGAAGACAAGATGGTTCTATCACTCAAGATTTATTCTTACGGAGTCATATGTCCACCCACACCTTAAGGTTCACAACGTCGTCGCACTACCTTGAAAGAGACATAAATCTCTTGAATCGAGCAACGAAATGAGTGAAAAATAAAACTTATGAAGATTTTTATTTTTGGACCTACTTGGGTTAACTATATTGTACATTGAAGCTGTTGTCATAGTAGCGATAAATATAACGTTGTTGAAAAACAAGATGGATAATTTAAAGCCTGTTGGGATGCGTCGTGCTTCTAGCTGGTCTACCGAAGTAGAGAATGCATACCGGTTCCAGTTAGCGGGTTATAGAGACGAAGTGGAATATTTTGTGAGTTTTTTCAGTTCACATTATATAACAATATCTTAAGAACTTTAATAATGCTGACCCAGAGAAGTGGACGAACACAGGATTTATTAAAAAACTTAAGAGACGGGATGGTCTATTCTACTATTTTAACAAGGATAGGGAATGTTCGGACAAAGATATACCAAAATGCAAGCTATATGTATACTAATTAAAAATTACAATCTAGTGAATGCTATCTACCAAACGCAATCTCTAGGAGTTCCAGAGAGCACAACTCTTGTTTAATTTATGGAGTGAAAATTTGAGATTGCAATAGATCGACAAGCTGTAGACTATTTTTAACCATACAAGCAGCTGATAATTTTTTACTTGTTTTTTGAAATTAATAGGAAAGTCTTGCTGTAAAACTCCGAATTTTTAATCAAGGCTTTTAGTGGAGCGTTTTGATTGATTGTATATAAGGTTGAGGTAAATAAATATTATCCTAAATTGCTTGATGGCATAGATAATACCACACTTTCGGTTTGAAAAGTCAAAAGAATGAGAAGCGAGTATTAATTTCCATGATGCTGATTTCTAAGCTAGTTCTACCTGTAAAATTTCAACTCGTTCATAATTGAGTAAGAATGTGATGACCCGACAATCAATTAATGAATAGCCTGTACTGAGTAATCCTGATAAATGAACCTGATTTCATCGTAACGCGATTGACCTGAAGCTATTCGATTGCCTGTAGAAGTGTTGTTTTTAAATATGAGACGACAGTCATTTTGCTCTCCATATATGAATTTTAATATCTGCTAAATGAGGTGTCATTACTGTGTGAGGCTAGCCATGTAGGTCAATCAATCAGCTGTAATAAATACATTTCATGTTGTGTTTTATCAGTTAGTGCAGCTCGTAAAAATGTGCATCTTGAAGTTCAGTACTCACATCTCTAAAGGCTACATGAACGATAGAATGTAAATCTTTAACCATTGCTAAATAAACTCAAATTTATGATTAAGTCATCTGCAGTCTTTCTGCATCGTAATAACTAGTTAACGATCAAAGATTTTAGAGCTTCCATTGGCCACTATTTGTTCGTAAGAAGTACGTTTATGCTTTGACAGTCAATGTAGTTTATTGCAAATTCATGAGTATTATCGGCATTTTGAAAGCATTCGATAATTTCGATAACGTATTGAAGCATCCAAGAGTTCCATGGCATCTATTTCATTTTTTATCCCTTACCATACGTTGATATAAATGGCAAATACCAAGACTGACTGCAAAAAATATTCAGGAGGTTGTCTTCATGTTAATGAAATAAAACTAGTTCAAAAGCTGCACTCTGTAAAACTGCGTTAAATATCGTTTTCTCAACAGACAGCCAGTTAGCCATTTGTCTAGAGAATTAAACTGTTCCTATATCTAGTGTTATCTAACTCAGGCATATATGGAACTTTACCGATCCCTTTAGTGAAATAATTAAAAACTACGTGTCTTGGCAGCTTATTATTTGGAATATCAAAAATGTTTATTTACAACCGATAAACTGAAAGCTTGGGGTGCCTCTTTTGAAAACGTCACATTCCGGTGTTAAGATTCCTTTTAAATAACGATTGGTTATTTTAGAAAAATCCCTTTAGCATCTTAATGCCTGTGACAGCTGAACTTACTGAATGATAATTTTAAGGACCAAACGGAGTGCGTATTTTGAAGGCAGAATATGGAAGAGCATTTTCGGAGTTATTTGCTTCACTGCTCTAGATTGTTGCCGGGCTAAACAAGGTAAACGTCTTAATGGCAAAATATTGTGCTCCGTGTTGTCATCATGGGTGCGTTTCGTCCGATGTTATTTCTTTTTGGTTCAAGCTAGTTAACAGTCCGAGAGCGCCTATTTTATTGGGCAGACTCCGCACTTAGATTAAATTTAATCCAATAAAAGTGACTGGTAACGAGTGAGTGCAAAGGGACGCAGGTCTGTTATAGTGATCATCAATATAAAAGGACTGCAAGGGAGAGATTTATTGATGTAATGTAAATGCAAATGTCAAATATATTTTTCGAGTATCACAACAGTTCGATGTGCTTAAATTTTCAATACCAAATTATGTGCTATTTTATGCTAATAGTCTAGCACTAACCCATTTCTATAATTTTCCGAGAACGGTTTAAAGTATTCTCCTAGCCCTCCGTACTTCCTTTTTACGGGTTGAATTCCAGGCAAAAATCCTTCAGTTTTAACTCAGTTAGGCCTCGCTTCCTCTTGAAAAATTAAATGAACTCTAGTATTTCTGGTTTATCAGGATCAGCGAATAGGGTAGAGACTCTGTGATATCCTGTTTCAAGAACATCTTGCCCAACAAAAGTGTGAACGTTCAATAATACTAGTTTGAAAATTTTATCGTCATGAACTCCGTATTTTGATTTCCCGTAGACTCAATGCTTTCGAAGTAGTTTGTTAGTGTTGTGAGTGATTCTTCATATTCTGAGCATAATTGTGACTACAGTAAGTTATCGAATTTAGCCGAGGCATCTGCAATCCCTGAAAAAGGGTATGGAGGTCAACTGACAAATCCGTAGGGCAGAACTTTCATCTGTTGTAAAGTGTTGTTGGTGTTCTGTTTGATGCAACTTGTATCTTATAGATTAGCTCAGATAGAATGAATAACTTTACTGTGCCTAATTTGAATGTACTTGTCCGAATGTTGATGGACCTTAATGTTTGTAGTTGATCACACTGATCTCTAGATTTAAAATCCGGTGAGGTTTATGTGAATTTGTACTTTTTTCCTCCATTAGAATGTAACGCAAGCAAATAATCAAGTAAAGTTCCACCGCATCAATTTTATATATTTGAGTAAATGAAGACGAGTCTTTTCAACTGCTGATACTTAGTTAGAAGGCACGGCAAATAAATCATCGCCTTTTGTGATAACCATAGAAGAGCTTTCGTATATTTTCTCCTTAAAATCTTTGTATAAGGAAATCCGGTAAACATACAATGAAGTGTCAGGAGTTTCAAGAACTACATCCATATGTTAGCTTGTGTTCAAAACGCCTTCAACGGATGATTTAACGTACTTGTTGAGAAATAAAATGTCATTGGACACATCTTACTGACTTCTTTATTTATGATTTCTTTCTCAGTGTTTATATCTACTCTAAACCCATATTAGCTGCTATTGAATAATTTATTGTCAAGTGTATGCTCTGACTATGTTATTAGTCGTAAACCTGGTTTCTAGTATAACGTGATGCAGTATGTGTACAGTGTAATAATCGAGTATCCATAGTCTCTGTTACCAGCTTTTAGATCACATTTTAGTAGTATGCCGCACTAAAAGTTAGTACTTAAATTCTTTTGTAAAATGATTATAAAGGCAGTCAACTCTTAAAAAAATAACGAGATCTCCAAAGTTACTCCAATAGATGTGATTCTGACTTATGTATCTGCTTATATAATGAACCCATGAAAATGAACTTCGGACAAAGGTAGTCAAGGAGCACATGTTGACTAAGCTTCAAGTAGCTTCGTTAAAGTAAATGAACGAGTAGAATAGATAAATTCTATCAATTATATGAAATTTGCAGTATTAAAAGCACATCAAAATAATTGGCTCAATGTTTCGATGAGACTTTATTAATAGCTAATCCAAACCGTGATTTTTGATCGCAAATGTGATCTCAAATCGATTTCCGCATTCATTATGGTACAGGATCTTGGAAATCAAAGCATTTGTCTTGTTAAATAAATATAAACTGAATTTTAGCTTACAGGAAAAGCGTGTACATTTTTTACTTCAAAAAAAGTAACCTGGATTTTCCCTAATATTCTTAGTACTGCTTAACTATATTGAACCATCTCTAATGTTATCACATATTCATTTGTTAGTATACGGTTGTGGAGACTGTTGATCTTAATTAAATCCATGAGTAGATCAATGGTAGACAATTATTGGAAACCTGGAAGCACTGGACGGCCGTTTCTTCGCGGTATGGGACGCACTAGCAGTGCACATCAACGACCTCTGCACACAGAAATCGGACCCAGGACCTTCGGTCTAGCTTGCAAACGCTTAAGCTCTAGACCACCGAGCCAATATCCAACGGTGTAAATTTCCGACTTCAATCGATCCACGGTATTGCGCAGCCTCAACCGTTGTTTCCGGTGGCTAGCTACCTTATACTCGACACCGTTGAACTCCATTAGTTACAGCTTCTGACTAGAAGTACGAGAATTTACTCATAAAGCTAGTCACTAGTAAGCACACGATATTTATCATTAAAGGGTTGTTGGGATTATTGATTTTTATTGATAATCATTTGTTACAACTGATTATTAATTAAGGGATTAATTAGCTTGATAATTTGTTCTTTAGTCATCCTGCCAATTGAGAAGTATTTTATGAAGCTTATTAATCAATCATCAAAAATAGTCAATTTAAGAGTGAAATTTATGATTTCTGTTCAAAGGTCGAACATCAATTAATATAAGTAATTTAGATCCGATTGATATTTACGACGAGAAGAACGACTTGCCTAATGGTGCTAAGAAGATATCACGAAAAAAAGAAATCTATTACGCAGAATAGCTGGCAAATAATTATGATTGATGACAATTATGATTTGGTGATCACTTCATGTGTGTAAACTAGTTTTACAGAGTTTATTATTATGGTGTCATGTATGCTTTATTCATGATTGCTCTGAGTAACCTGAAAAATTGTTAATTAACATAGTTATTATGGGAATCAGTGTTGGGAAAGATATCTTCATAGGGATTTTGAAAGCTAATTCTTGAAGTATTCAACTGTCGATATAGATTATCTAGCAATACCATCTAACAAACGAGATGTAATTTTATTTACCCATATAGTTTCTATCAGTGCTTCTTAGTCGAAGAAATGATTTTATGTATTATTTGGTCTGAAGAAATTTCATTATTATTAAAAAACTTAGAGAAGCATGAGGTTTGTTTCATTTTGTAGCCAAACGTCACGTCAACAGAGATCCAGTTTATCGAGATGATGGAGAAAATTTGTAGCTCAGGTGAATGAGTATGGTGGTGTTTCGTTCTCAGGGAACGAAACTAATATCTCTAGATATGCAAAGTTAACGGAACAACCAGTAGCAAACATAATCATTACAGAGGACTGTTAAACCATGTAGCCGAAACGACAGGATTTTAAAGAAACAATATCAACATTGTTTAAGTTGTTATGATTACCACGGACTAACTTATATTTGGATGTCTTAAAAACGATTGGAAGGAAGTTCGAAGCCCGTTCATTTCGTCTAGTTTATTAAGGCGTTTAGTAAATATGAATTGTCACGAAAACCTGCTTTTCGTCACGAAAAAAAAACCAATTGTCTAAGAGGCATATAGCACGATAAATCCAAAGAACTATAAGAATTTTCATGTAAACATGAGAAAATATATTATTAAGCGTAAATATTTCTAAAATAATATAATTAATTAAAATTAACAACTCAGTTTGCATCAATAAGCTGAAAAAAATAAAACTTTGGGTTGAAGAACATGTACGATTTGTTGATTAAAATGTTTTGCATCAAACAATTCTTTTAGTTTAATTTCGTCATTGAAATCATTCACATTTAGTACAAACTTGAGTTATTTTCCTTTCTTCTTCCAATAATGAAAATAAACTGACAGTACAATCAAATAATATCTGGAAATGTAAAATTACTAAATGCGTTTAGCCGAAGTCTGAAAATGCATTTCGAAATTGAACATTGAATTGACCGTTGCACTGTAGTTCCACTTATGTTTTACACATTTAATATTCAAATAATAGTTGATAAATAAATATGTATAATAAATAATTTTTTGAATATAGCTAAGTGTTTTTTTAAATTGGTAATATGTATGTATATACTTTGAAAATATATTTGTTTTAATTATTTGCTTAAATATCATTTGAAAAAAGAACAGATTGAAATTTTGTGGGAATATATTAAACTAAAATAAACACTTCTAAAATGTCTCTTTTTGAAATTAATTTCGTTTTTTGGAAGATGCTATCGGCATTTCTTGAAAACATGATAGCTAAAAAGTTTATATAAAAGAAAGAATATGGTTGTGTAATGTTTTGCGCCGTAGAACTCAATAAATATGATTATCAGGCTTTAAAATTATTCCTTTCAGAAGTTTAACATGAGGAATTATGTAATACCGGTTGTAGGATGCATGGTAATCTTACTGGCTTTTCATATGGTCTTTTACTATGAAGTTGATCACTGATTCTCTTGGTGACTATGGAGTGAGCAGTTATCTTAAAAAAGTTTTTCTAAGTAATTTTAATACTGTTTGCCTTTGATGTTACTCTCAATATTTAGTTCACATATATCACAAATAGAATTCAATTGAAACTGGGGTCATTAGATAACTGTTTTCGACTAGTTTGAAACCCATCAAAGTTTAGTAGTGACGAACAAGACAGTGCTTGATGAAGTCTATACCGACATTTAACTAATCTCTGTAGGTAACCGAATAATCAATAATATTATGCTCACTAGTGAGAGAAGCATTCAGATAAGTTCTGAATTTTTAATTAGAATTCATAGCTGATGAATTCCGCTCGCATCTGGTGTAAAACAGATATAACGATTATACTAGTTGATTGTTCCGTTAAACTACGAAACAAATAAATAGGGAAATATGAAGTACTGTGTCTTGTGACAGGTGGTCTAAATGTTAGGTACTCACCACGAGACAGAAAGGTGATTGATTTAATGCTTATCGATTTTCCGGGCAAACAGTGGTATTAGGCTCTGAAATGAGATGCAAATAGGCGAATTTTCCGGCTTCAAAACTTCCAATGAAGTGTCCGTTTACCACGCCTAGAACACTTCCTGGGTGACTGGTAGTTCCAAGTTCTGAAGAACGATTTAAAATCAGGTTAGCAATCACTACCTCTTAAAAAGAACTCCCATTAAAATGTCCATCAGAAAAAATCACTCGGTCTGTGTATTGGGAATGCACATAAAATAGCTATAAGGCCTTATAATGAAAGCAGAGATTCTTCAAAAATCACGAGGACTATTCGTCATCTGGCAACCAGAGTAGCAATCAATATAGATAACTGAAGTATCCGTACAGTAATGAAGACTGGAAAAAATTCAGTTGGTTGGATAAACGAAATTTAGAACCAGGTAGTGCATGGAATAGGTGAAATCCATTGAACGTAAGCTGGATAAAGAGACCGGTTTCGGTAAGATATCTGTTGTTTTCTGGTCGCGAAAAAGAAAATACCTATTCAAGCACACACAAGGAGTTGCACTGATGTTTTTTAAAGAGGCACGGAAAGCGCTTGTAGGATGGTAATCTCATGGGTTGAGAAACATCACAGGTATGAAGACATCATGAGGAGATATGGATTGGAAAGGCTCATGTAAGATGTGAAACAAAGAGGGTAGCAGATATAGCCAAAAATTACCGTTTGATATTGGTCATGCTAAAATTAAAGCTAAAGAAGCTTCAGAAAGCCGGACATACAACGCTGTAACAGTTTAATACAGTCATCCTTCGAGATGCAAAAAGGTTCAGATAGTTCAACATAGCTTTCAAGAAAAACTTTAGAGTCTTATAATATCTACCAGGAGAAAAAGAAACTGCTATGAAGAGCGATTGGAAAGGAATTAAGGAAGCAACACCTTACACATAACAGGAAAGGAAGGGCCACATTAAGTACCTTCATACGAAATGGATCTCTCTCGATACCCTAGGAAGGATTCAAGAAAGGAAGAACAAGAAGACAGCAGTCAATAACAGATGAACGAAGGAAGAAAAAGTTAAGGCATAGGCATACATAGAGAAATGAGTATCGAGAAGCACTGAAGTTGATAAAGGGGAGTTTGTATAAAGTATACGTATAAAAGATTCATTTGGAAATATAGTTAATATAGAGGAACTTCCAGATGAATAGACGAAGTGAGAAATTTAATAAAAGAGGTTCGATAATCACAACAATCACTTACGTTAATTAACCTCCAATCATGACAACCAAGTCATTAGACAGAGCTCGAGTGGCCCCTGAAAGACCTTCACAATTATAAATACCATCGTCTCCTGGTCTTACATTTGAAATTGTCAGGGTACTCACAACAGTTGGCATTGGTGCATTGCAGTTTCTAGGCACATTGGTTATTCTGAAACGACTTGGTTCATCAGGAAGACAACCCCAGTTGAAACGCCATATTACGTAGGGTACAGGGTTGCCAGTAACTTCACAAACAAGCGCTACAGTATCACCTCTACGAACAGAGTAACGTGTAGTGCGTGGTTCGGCAATCATTGGTGGAGCTATAAAGCAGTGAATTATAATTAAATTAGTTATTCAAATTAAGTGAACAGGAATAATGCTTACATGTAAACTAAATATTTTAGAAAATTTTTTGTTTATTTGTAATATTTTATAAATCGTTATTGATCATGTATGTACTGGGCAATAAGGCAAATTACGTTTCTTTAAATGACTCAATTAGGTACACAAGATGAAAAAGTTGAATGTATAGCAAAATTTATTATACCGAGCTGTGCACTGATGTAAGGGTTGAGATTCAAATTTTGGTAAGAAGAGGAATGGAACATAAAACAAATGCATTGCTTATGTTCACCAGTTTTGAGAATAGAATATTATTATGTTCGTCACTAGGTACGCTTGAAGCTATCACGAGTTCACCTTAGTCGATAAACGCGAACCAGACAATTACCAGCGTCCAGGTAGGCTACAATGAATCCTAAACTGTAAAACAAAAGTTTTGGTAAGCTTAGAAAGTTTTGGATATGACTGTATTAATAAATGATAAGAGAAAGGTTGTTATTTTAATGTAATCAGCACCCTTCCTTTTATTATTGATTAATACTGTCATATTCAAAACTTGAAACCTCTCAATAATCTTGATCATATTACGCAACGCTACTTTACTTACATTGTTTTCTACTTGAATAAGTTTGACGATGGTTGATAAGTTAATAAACGCCTTTATTTTAGCATCGAAAACTACATGAAAGATTGCTCATTATGACGAGTCTTTTATACAAAGTTAACTCTCGATCACTTCCAGCAACCTGGAGTCAAATAGGACAGTTTGAACTAATTTATTTTCAATGAATCTTGAACAGAATATTAGTGTTAAATGCTATTCATTTACATCAGTTTTACATTAGATTGTGAGCTTTTAAATACTTCAGGTGACTGTACGTATTTTAATTATGCTTAAAGACAGAGTACCAACCAATCATAATCTTGATACAATGTATTGTAAGAGAAATTAAAATTATACACTTTGTTTCACTATAAGCCTGTATACACAAGTTTTAAAAATATGCATGAATCACTCTGTTGCTTCGATTAAGTGATTATGGTGCGATTATTTTTAGGTGAACAAACCAGCGGCCAGTAAGTGTCTTTCATTAGATTATTATTCGCCACATAACATGTATATTAAGTAGATACGCATCTTTATTTTATCTTAAATAGAAATTTTTTTAATATATTTATTTTTTATTGAAATTTAATTCAATTATTGTTAAAATAATTATATAATTTTATCTAAATTATAGTCCAAGAAATGGGTTATATATTAATTGTCATTATTTAACAATTTTCTTTGAACTGGTTTACACATTTTATAATTTATTTTTGACCTAATTCACTTTTTAAGTAGTTAAAACAATCACATTTGATTAATTTCAACAGTTTTTTTTAAGATTTATTGCCATTTTCAAAGTAAACACGAAACTGCTAATGAATTGGTCCGAAAGCAAATCGGATATTGAAATGCGTATATTCTTTAAATTTACGGATTGCTTACAAGACATTCTGATTCACAAAAGAAATACCGAAAGCTGGAAAGCCCAGAATATGTATCTTGTATCAGTTTCGAATAAATGAGTAGTTGACAATCCGAACACCAAATATAAGATTTAAACTGATTATTCACTCAGTTGTTTGTCGATGTTATGCTTGTCGATTCCTTAGTGTTAATCGAATACTGTTGATCAGTAAGTTATGTTACGTAAGGTAAACTAAAGACATCTTATATATATTAATCCATCGATCGTTTCACGGCACTGCCGGATAGCGTATCAGTTTGTAGTCTCAGATTATAAGCGTTTCAAGTATAAAATTATAAATTAATCGCTTAATGAAGAGTTACGTTTATTTATTAATGAATAGACCAGAATGTAGCTGAAACTAGTCACTGTAATCGAATATGCTATTCAAAGATTTATTTCGAAATAGTGAGCAGAAATAAGACTATCTATTTCATATTTATTCAAGTCATGACCGAAATTTATTGTATGATTCCAGGAAAATAGTTAAAATTCAGAGAAAAATATTTTCTAGTCGATATACTTAAACTGTTTATGATCTGTAATATTTATTTTTTGTGTAATTTTAGTAGATTAATCAAAGTATTTAAAGCTTTCAAATGAGCATAGATAATATTACTTATACAAGAATAGTAGAAGACATACTTTTGTCCAGAAATTAATAACTATAACCTGATATAATAGAATTAATGAATTCCTAGATTTTTAGATCTGTCAGGATTTTAAACTTGTCACTTATAGATATTTTTGAAAACTCTATGAGTTTACTATAGAACAATGATTTTATCAAAATTAAAACGGAAGTGGTCTATTTCAAATAAACTTACCACAAGTTAATTCATCTTCACCATCACTACAGTCTCGATCCTTGTCACATACAAAAGCCATTGGAATTTGTCGACCATCTCGTCTACAATTAAACATTCGATCTTGACAACGTTCTGTAGCTCGTGCTTAGGAAAAAATTAAAATTGTTTTAGTTAAATTTATGTAATAATCCATGAATACTTTATAGATGTTATAGAGACTATTAAATTATTAGAATTCTGAATAAGTGATTCCAATTTAAGCTTATATGAGCGGTTGAAGCAAGAAATGATAAATATGTTAATATCCCAAACTGACTGTATGTCAGTATGCAAAAAAAAAACACGATCATCTTAGCTTTAGTTATGAATTCAAAAAAAATGTTAAAGTGTTCTTTTAATTTATTGAATAGCACTGGCAATGCTGTGTTGTTTGATTATTAGAAATTGTTTGGAGTACATGTATTTGGTATAGTTCTACTGGTACATAGTTTTGTGGAAAAGGATTAGGTTTCTAGAAGTTATTCCCTTGAACCATTCTCAGAGATATATACAATGCCGTTATCACTTAAGCGATACATTTCAATCATGGTATACTCTAACAATTCAAAGTTGAATTTCAAATGTTTGCATTTGTAAGGTAAGATCCATTGAAAGAATTTTCAGTTTTATCAGTGATATACCAGTATTAGCTGACAGTAATGTGGAATAGATGTTCAGGCCGACAAATATCAAGATCTACAACAAAATACTTGCATCTCTAGTGTTCAGCAAACATTTACCTAAATAATTATCTTTATTCAGAATAGGAAATTTTAGTATGCTTTAATGTCATCAGTTGTATGGATTGCCTAAGAATTCATTCTTGTTAACCTTATTGCTATTTTTATTGAAACAATGGTTGACTTTTGTATGAATGTTGCTTCAGTATTTAAATATTATTTTTCACTCAGACTAATAGCTTTTAGTCTGTTTTAAACTTCATAATGTTATTCATTTGGAATAAAAATAAAAGTTGGCATATTCTATCCAAGAACCAGCGAATAAGTGAATGCTGTAGTATTTCTTTGATTTTCACCATAATGCTAGAGAAGTGTTTACGAGTAATGTTGTGGTTTGAAATCAGCAATTAATAAAAATTATCAATTGTTTAATCTATTTTCTACCTTCACAATTTGACTCATCAAAACCATTTCCACAATCACTTTCACCATCACAAGTCCAATGTACCATGAATGTGGCTTTTATCGGTTCTCTTCCTTGATAATATTCACATTTTCTTGAAAGTGGGTCACAAATATCTAATGTATAGATTATATAGAAAGACAAAATATCAAAATAGTTATTGCGAAAGATTAGTGACAATGTAAGCTTTAATATATCAATTATATTATTCATTATTGAATTCGCTTTCTTTTTTTTTTACCTTACCTTATAAATAATTTTGTTTAGTTTAAAAATGACATAATGTTGCATAAAATGTCAAGTTTTACAAGTTCCATTCTGTTTATAATATTAACGAAAATAATACAATCAAGTGAATAATGAAGTACAAGTATACATTTGACTGATAGTTTTCGAATGATTATATGTGACGTAAATTTTTAATATTTGATTTCAATTCGTAATATATTGGAAATCAACCCATTTTAGTTTGAGATAAAGATTTTACTGCTGTTTCAGTATGTCATATTACCAGAGTTCTTTATACTGTACAAGATTAAAAATAAAAATTCTGTTTTGTCGATAAAAAATTAATCCTATCACCGAATAAAGAATAAAAGGGACTAAGTGTTTTAAAGAATTTTTAATTCATACTGCTAAGGAAATAAAAAGTAATTATCGACGTTAAAAGTTTACAGAAGTCCTGATTGAAAGATTAGTAAGTGGTGACTACTAGGTTATGTTTGACTAAGAAATCAAAGTGATTTCAATAACCAACATGCAATAGGGATTACGAAACAACTATCAAACTATGATTGAAATATTCAAAATCTTCAAATAACTATATTGATCAGTAAGAACAAGTGTTGAAATAAACCGCTCGCAAACCATATATACTCTACTCTCATAGCAGGTTTCTTCAGATCGTTGGTTAGGATATAATTTGTAATTTCACACTACTTGATTGGGTCTGTTACCCTTTGTTAAGCAGAGGCCTCTGAGCAGAAAACTCCAACCAAATCTGTCTAGTGCTGTCCTTTTCAATTGTTGTCGAAAGCTTTTCATGCTCTCTATATTTGCCTCCGCTTCCGGACACAATGTACAACTTAGTCTTTCTCTTTTCTTATTACCGAGGGGATTTCAAGTTTGAACGTGCCTTGTGACGTCGTTTGATGATTTCCAAAATGTGTATTTTATTCACTCCCAGGGTTTTTCTCAGCTTCCTATTCATTTGGAAGCTGGTATGTATTCTGCCACAGAAGGTCTTTGCTGATGGGTTTCAATCAATGGTCTTGGATTATCGTGCTTAGACAACCTTTTAGAAATAGCTGTAACTTGGTGGTTGTCCAAGTTTCAGTTTCATGTCATGAAACTGTTTTGAAGTTTGAAATGAAAACTCTGACTTTGTTGTTGAATGGGTGTTGTTTTGAGATACGTGTGTTCTTCATTCGTGGGAATACTGTGACTGCTATGCCAATCAATGGGTTTAAATCTGCATCAGATTCCCCTTGTTTATCAGTGATGCTGCTTAGATGTGTAAACGTTTCCAACTATTGTAGGGCTTGCCCGTCAAGCGTAATTTAGCTGGTGGTTGCTATGTTGTACTTTAGGATCTGTTTTTCTTTTGTGAGTGGTGAGGATTACTGATATGGATGCAACCACTAAAGTGGTACTTCTTGTCTTCATCAGTTGCTGTGTATCTGATACAAGGACTATGCTATCTATGAATTGCAAATCATGCAGCTATGTCCAAAGTTTTAACCATATTCGTTACTTTTCCTGATGTGTAGTAGTATTCAGTCAACAACGAGGAGAAAACGAAACGACGAGAGTAAGCAGCCTCATCTGATACCAGTTTTCATTTGAACTTAAATGCGAGCTGTCGATCATGCATCACCTTGTGCTTTATTTTGCTGTAGGGGTTCCGTATGTTAATGACAAAATCAGCTCCGCAAGAGTCTCCTATCTACGCTGTCAAATTTTTTCTCATAGTTAAGGAAGTAGATGAACTTCAGTGAGTTCTGTTCAACCAATTATCCATAGTTTTGAGATTTGATCGTTACACGACAGATCCTTACGAGATTCAGCTTGTTAATCTCAAAGCTAGCAGTTCATTGGATCTTTCATCCGGTTCAACAACATTTTTAAGGAATTTAACCGATACTGATGGAAGTGTTATGTCTCTAGTTCTCACACTTTAACGTTTTTGTCTAGTATCTTGGTGAGGTGTCCTTTTAAGTTTTTTAGGAAAGGAGATTTTGTGAGACAACTCTTCAGCCGTCTTTATGTCTTCAGTACTTCAGCTGGTATACTATTTGATCCTGCTACTTTGCTCTGTTATATCTTCCATATATTTTCGCTTATTTGCTCTAATCCTTTACTTCATTTGCTTGCTCACTTCTGTGTATTCTGTGTACTTTTGCTTTCTCTGATCTTGTTCAACCTTTGTTTATCTCTGTACTTTCCTTTCTTTATTCTTAACCAGAGTATCGGCTGAGATCAATTCTTTAAGGTGGTATTTCTTACAGACCAGCAGTTCCTGGCATGTTGTAGTTATGGCTTCTTTGATCCCTTTCCAGTTATTCTTCATAAAAGCTTTCTCTCCTTCAAGTAGATCTTGTTGAGCTTGGATTCGTAGAGATTCTAAGTAGCTTGAAGAAAGGTTGTATTACGCTTTTGTAATGTTGTTTGTTTAGTTGTCCAGTGCTCACACATATTATCAATATCCCAAGTCTATTTCGATTGTTTATGTTGTACATACATACATTGTATGTTTGTAAATTGTGTAAATGAGACTCTTGCTCACTAACTCTAGTTCTTTACATACGTAAAAAATCCAAGTCAAGTAATTTTATTGTGAATGCTTCCACAATACAGTGTTGACCCTGCAGATTCTTCTAAATTTATATTGGTGATGATGTTTAAAACGAAACAGTATTATTGCTAAAAAATGTACATTTTCGAAAGTCATTTTTTTGTTTCAGATTAGTAATATATTTCTAACAGCAGGAGGCTTGCAAAAGTAATTTCATCAAAAGATCTAAGCGTAAGAATAAGCTACAACTGTCAAAATATTATTTGATTATAGTCTAATTTAAATAACTAGTGTATAGTTCAAAGCTTATTATTTCGGCCAGTTTGTCACAAAAGTAACTAGATGACGAGTGCAGACCTAAATCAAAGCACAATTTAAGTTACTGAAATTTATCCTATTGTATAAAAAGCGGATGGATGAATTTAATTTGCCAAAATTTAGTTGGCAAATTATACACATTTCAGTCAGTTCAATAAAATATTTAACTTACTACACAACTTAGGATCTTCATCTGAACCATCATCACAGTCTCTAACTCCATCACAGAATCTTCCAGCTGGTAGGCATTGACCGGAACGACAACGACGTGAACCGTCTGGACATATATCTTCCACTGTAATTATTGCTGTGGCTGGTTTACTTGGTTCCTGTAATTAAAATTAAAATTAATGTAGATGAAGAGACACAGTAATAAACTGATTCAAATCAATGGTTATTTCATGTTATCAATTTTCTTGTTAAAAACTTTGTTTAGTTATATAGACAAAAAGTTGCAGATGTTAAATATAATACATCATACAAATAAGTTGCAGTTAAATTTTGTCGATTATTCGTATGATAACACAAAGAGTAGAAACTTGCAGAATCACGAAAGCCATCGTCCACATGTTACAAGTGTTTATTAGTAGTTGTCTACGCAAGATACTGTGGATCATTTGGCCAGACACTGTCAGCATTAACGTACTGTCGGAGAGAACAAACCAAATTCCAGCTGAGGAAGAGATTAGGAAAAAGTGCTAGATATGGATAGGACATACAACGAAGAAATCACCTAACTGCGTCATAAGACAAGCTCTCACTTGGAATCATCAAGGCCGAAAGTAAAGAGGAAGACCAAAGAACTCATTACGCCGAGAATTAGAAAAAGATATAAAAAGAATGAACAGCAGTTGGGTAGAACTGGAAAGTAAGGCCCACGACAGAGTGGGTTGAAGAATGCTGGTTGACGGCCTATGCTCCATTTTGAGGATCAGGCGTAAATAAGTATATAATACATTTAATACAATTAATTCGAAGTCCACTTACATTTAAAATCAATTAGTTGAATTAATAATCAATAAAAACAAAACATCTTTCCATGAAGATAGTTGGCAGTTGAGAATATTCTCTTCAGTATTCGATTCACACTTATTCCTTGTATATTCAGTCTATGGTTGAACTTTTTTAAAAGTATTCATCAAAAATAGTTTGGTCATTGTAAACTAAATCAATGTGGATACTGTTCTAGGTGACTACTTGTTGAGTAGCTTAAAAATTAGTGCAAAATAAATTACAGGTATAAAGTTTCGTAAAATTAATCAACAATTCTTATTCAAGCACCGTTAATGTTTAATAATTATTCTGTATAATCATTTTTGCGTATTTACTGTGGGTACTTCAAACAAAGAAACTATTTAAATTCGTCACTTCTGTGTCAATAAAAGTGGTAACCATTTGCTAATGTCTGTGGAACAAATGGTGAAACTATGTTTGAATTTCGTAAAAAGAAAAAAATTAATATTATGTTAAATATTGGGTGTACAAATTTTCCAGCTTTGGATGAAGGCATAATTGTAAATTAACGATAAACCGAGTTCTTATATTCTCTAACTACTACAGAGTAAATTTAAAGTATTTAGGGCATTTGAAACTTACATCTGAAAGGCATTCAACAACAGTTCCATTTTGCTCTGGACCCAATCCTTGTTGCAACACAAATCGAGCACGGTTTTGACTGACTCGTGTAGTTTCAAAATTGATTCTTGGGTCTCTAACTTGAAAACGTGGCGTAAATGGAGCTACTTGTCCATCTTCAGTGGTGGCAAAACACTCAAATTCTACTGGTTGATATGGTCGAACGGTTAATCTCGAAGGTGTAATTGTCAGTATGTAACTTCGTACTGCTCCTTTGGGGTTAATAAGATTAGGCAAATGAAATTCAACATGAGACATATAAATACAGTACATACTTTATTAGGATAAATTTTCATTGTTCTTTTCGCTTAAAAATATACATTAAGTTAAGGAATGCAAGTTCCTTATCTTAACAGGTGTTTGATACTTTACGTTTTCAACTCGATTATTCCATTTCATCATTTATATTGAATTGTTTTACGGAAAATTTAGGATTCCTAGCATTTCATTTATTAAAATTGTTAATGCGAGTGAGACTTTAACTACCGTAACAGAAATATAGTCAATGTGGGTGTAAGACATATTATCAGCAGTTATCGAATGTCGGAGAAGACTAAAAAGCACAACACACAACGTTCACCAATAAATTCACACCAAGAGAGAACCTGGAGTAGCAGTCACAGGTCTTTTTATTAAAAATTAAATTACGCGGCTTTTGTACAAATGAGAAGGCTTATTTACAAAGTAATCTCATACCAAGTTAATGTAATGAAAATATATATATATATATATATATATATATATATATATATATATATATATATATATATATATATATAGCGAGGAATTATTCATCGCAATTTACTTAAAAATTCATTTCAAGTAAATATCAATTCTGTTATGAATGAGTGAACATTCAATAAATTATTACTTTATTTAAATATGGCATAATAAGTTCAATTTAGTTGATTTTAGTTTGACAGGGAAAGGAATATATTTTTATTTTGGTTTCACTGGTTGTCAGTATTGAAATAACAACAAATATATCAATTTTATCATTATTATTGTTTGTGATTATAATAATATTCATATGATAGTGACCTTTGTAATTATTAGCACAATCATTATTATTTTTAATATAAATATTGTCATGATGACATATTTTTCTGGTGAAAATCAACATACCGACTGTGAAAAACTACAGGATCAGACTTTTGATTTGTGTACACTGAATATAAACCATTTTTTATTGAGTAAAGAGAGAGAGATTTGAAAGAGAGTAACAGTTGTTATTTCGATATAGGAGTGAATTATGATAGGATGAAAATAGTGTAGATAAATAAATTGTCGGTGAAATACAATTTTTTTCTGATAGAAGTACACATACAAGTAAACGGGTTGGATTATATTTCTAATATTTAAGTGTAATAAAATAAACTATCTCGAATTTTGATGAAGTTCTTCACTTTCACCTTGATATACAATAAAACAGATTTATAAGAAAGGCTTAGTTAAAATAGTATTGTAATAGTGAGTAAAATGTTTACAAAGGTTTTAAAACAAGAATTGAACTTTCTCACTTACTAACAAAAAGTTTTCCAACAATTTCTTCATTTTGAGATGGTAGTCTACAGATATATTCACCTTGATCAGCAACACGTGCTCTGGCTTTACTAATGAAACTGGTGTGTTGAGCGACTGGATCATCGTGACGCATAAAACCATCAGGTGTATCAACATCAAGACGTATACGTGTTGAACTGTAAAATGGTCTATAATACCATTCTAACTGACGATTTATGTTACCATTCATTCCATGTACACGACAATGAAATTCTACTGCTTCACCTTCATCAACTGTATCCGATTTCGGATTGATTTCCAATCCTTCTTCGGCTGTTTAATGAGAAGAATCTTAATTAGAAAAATATTTATTAATCATAAAATATTTCTTGCTTTTAGGCAGGGATTTCATTTTACTTTATAAACTAAGACTAGGTCATAACAATACACATTTATTGTTGACGAGTAATAGTTTTTTTTAATCCTGAGAATATTAAAACACATTTCGGAATTTCAGTTAATTGACATTAGCAATACAGTGTATAGAGTTTGTAACAATTTGATAAGAATCAGCATATGAATGAAGAAGTCTCTTTGTTAAGTCAGTTTTTATCTAAATTAAAAGTTAGGCGTTCGTGCACAATACCGAAGGTCCTGGGTTCGAATCCTGCGAGGTGTAAGAGTCGTGGATGCGCAATGCTGATGAGTCCCATACCAGGACGAAACGGCCGTCCAGTGTTTCCAGGCTTCTAATGGTGGTCTAACAATGATTGATTGATGATTTCAAATGTGTAAAAACGCAAATCTCCAAAGCTCTAACTAAAAGTTTATTATTCATGAAGAGTATTTTACGACGCTAATATCTCAGTCTTAGCCATTTACAGATAGAGCTATCAGTATGTCAGTCAAATTATTTACCAAGTTTTGTATATAAAACCTAATTAAGACATTTGTGTGACTCATCTCAGTTTAAAATAAATTTACTGCCTTTAGAAAAGTTATCTTACAAGAATATGATCTTACCTCTAACAACCAAATGTGTTTGCTTTATATCACGACCGATTCTACACTCGTACGTACCACCATGATCATGTTCTATGCCACGGATTGTCACAATACTCACTCTTAAACGATCGATACGGAAAACTTTCCCTGTAGCATTGATAGTTGGATGATTCTCCAATAGTTGATTTTCAAAATACCATCTAACATCTCTTGGATTAGCTACAGAAAATTCACAGTGAAGTTCACGTGTTTCTCCAGGTAAAGAAACCATCACTGAACCAGGTGGAGGACTCATTTCTACAAGTGTAAAGTATAAAGAAGAAGAACACAATTATTTAGTTCTTAAGACTAACTGATACTTATCATCATTTTTTTGTAGACTGTAATAAACCTAAAAACAGGAATTAATGTTATGCCTGATTAATTTGGAACATCGCTTATAACTAAATTTACTTAAACCTTGAGAAATTATTTTAACAGGTTGCGTTGATCGATTTTATCGATTTCTTATATTATGAAAGCTAATTGTGAATGCTGTGTGTTCTAAAGATTATTTATGGTGTTCTTATAGAATAATATTATTTCAATAAAACGAAGTAATTGTCTTTTTTTTCTTACTTCTGAATGAAGTGTTCCAGTTGGGACTACAAGGATTCTGAAATGAGTCACATTGTTTGAATTATTTTCATTTGTTAACTGTCAATGAATCGATTAATGCAAAATAGATAAGTGTTGCTGATATTATCATCAGGCGATGATACTTAAACTTTTAGTGATTATTTGCTAATTTGCAAAGCATATACTGACACACAAGCTTTTAGCAATAAATTATTTTAATTTATAAATGCAACAAATTAGCGAATGAGTACTAGTTGAATGTAAAATAAAGAAAATTCAGCTAAGATATGAAGTGATTTACTTGGATTAAAATTTCTTATCATCTGTTATAAAAACATAAATTTATTAATTCAAAATTAAACACCTTTTCATTTGTTAGGAAATACTGTAAAAATTTTGATTGTCATGATATCCTATCGCCTGTCATAATAACTTGAATAATCATATTTAGATGTACAAGTACGAAGTACTGAAGATCAGGGCTAACTGAATGACGATTTGCTTGTCACAGTAGATTATCTTTTTATGTACTGACAGCTGGTTGAGCAGTAAATTTATTTATACACATAATGAACAACTTACCAATTTTTGTTTCACGTGTCAGGGCCAAACTTAATTCAGCAGTGGCATTAGCTGATATACTTCCAGATCGTGAATATCTTGGTGTCCATTCAGCTCGACATATATACATACCAATATCACGATATGACAATGATGTCAAACGTAATGATGCTTCACGATGCACAATTTTAGCACCATGATACCAGACAAAACTGATTGGTTCTTCCGGTGGCGGTTCAACTTCACAAACCATTTCATACGGTCTACCAATAATAACTTCACCAGTAATCGGTCGAATATTAACTACATGCTGCATAGCTATAATGGTTATGAAATTTACAAAAAACAATGTTCATAATTAATTTCATAGTGAAATGGATTTGTGGTGATATTGAAAGTGGTATTCATTTGCATAAGAGTCAGAAATGATCTTCACTTTTTTGGTAAACACTAATTATTTAAAACTAAATATCCAAATCATAAATATACTTCTCATATAAATCCTATTTAGTCATAGATCAAAAGCTTCAACTGACAAACAGCACTGATTATTTTAAGAATACTTATTAAGCACTGAGTATCAGACAGTATGAATGTGTCGATTATTTCTGTTTTTATTAGGAAAAGTTTAAATGGTCAGTTAGAATAGGTGTTTGATTTTTATTAAAATTCCACTTTCAGTTGAAATATATGGACTTCTGTTGTTGATATATTTTTGCTTCGTATTTCTTCATAATACAGCAGTATCAAAAATCTATAATATTGTTAGATTAAATTATTGTTACTTATTTTGAATTTCACTTTCACTATTCATAACATAATCATTTGGTAGACGAATTAAACAAACAATTTCACTTCGAAGTCCAATATTTTACTATTATTATAAAAAAATAAAATATTGGAAGATCTATTAGGCGAAGATTGGAGACAATGAAATGGTTGCTTTGTCCTTGTCTAGAAATCTTCAGAAATATGAATCTGCAAACACGGATGAGATAAAACTTACTATATTATTATAGCTTTCTGTCAATTAGACTACATCAAGAACACTCAGTGCGAGACCAGTGTCTCATCTTTCTGAACTGAAGATGACAGTATGAGACTGAGTTATCTACTAAACAACTAAACTTCAATAATGAGAACTTCTCGATAGACAGATTTGTTCAATGTCACTTAGCTTGTATTATTTTCCCAACTGATGCCTATCGATTACTACCATAAAAGACAACTAAATGATAGTTAGCCTTCTTGAGTTAGTTTTATGGTTTTTCTACAATAGTGATGAAATATGCTACTGAAAGTTAATGAACATTGTAAAATTTCATTAACATTTATTTGTAATAATTTAATCCTAATTAATTATTTACAGACAGAGTTTATTAAATATATTTTTATCATTGAAAAAAAGTGATATCTATCACACTGACGTAAGTAATCAATTATCCATTCGGTAATAAGCTATAACAGTGAATTTGTGAAATAAATACTTGTTAATTAATACTAATTACAAGTAATTTCTGTATTTAAGTGAAACAAAATGTTTCCGTCAAACGAAACGTATTGATAATGTTGTTTTATTGCTTAATCATCTCTCTATAAAATACCTTAGTTATATTCTATTTCGTATCATTTTTTTGAAGGAGTTTATAGTTTTTGATATTCTACTTACTAAATACAAATGTGGTTAGTTGCTTACTAGCTAAACATAGATCTACTTCTAACCTAGACAAAATAATTTGACTCTTACGTAAAACATTTGATTATGTTTCATGGACTAAATGTAGATGTTTACTTATACACTGAACACTGACCATCAAAACATGAAATAACTAATATGATCTATTGACTATGAAAATTAATTAATCAGTTAATGTCTATTTATAAACTAGCTAATGATGAGTCAGCAAGAAAATAATTTTTCAAAGTTATTTACTGTTTTGTTGTGATATAATCTTTATCGCTTGAAACAGGAAAAGCTCTCACGAATTTATTTTGTTTCTTTTTCCTATACTGGGGTATTTAGGTGTGTAGGTGTGTACGCGCGCGTGCTTTCGGATAAAATGTCAATGAATAAGAAATTAATTAGAAGGTAGTATAAAGAGTAAAAGTAAAAAAAAGGTTGAATTGGTTAGCTAATGGTTTGAAGCATAGTTTCAAGGTCAATACTTATAATAAATATAACAACAACAGACTGGATAGTGAAGATGATGACAGCAAAAACAACGACGCTTGTGATGATAGTTATTCCTATAACATTTTGATAACAAATTTGATTAGTATGCATTAACATACATTAATGTTCACGTAAAATAGTTCGAAACAGAGTTAATAATAAACTGTGCACAAACACACACATATAATTTTGACTGATGTATGTGAATTGTATTTTAGGCATAACCAGTAAAGTGGTAGTAGTTAGAAAACGATTAACAACTGTTTTATTCATAGGAAGAGTAACATATACGCGCTTGTCATCTTGTATATATATATATATCTATATAAAAGTCTATTAGTATGCGGTAAACATTAGCCATTCAACTTAAATCTCTACAAGTACTGTTTTGAATGTTAGTTATATTAGTGAAATAAACTAACATTCACTGGCGTTTACCAATAAAAGTTAGATTAGATTTTACGTAACTTATCTTAAAATTTAAGCTATTGTTAGCCTAGTAGTTTCAGAAATTCTATAGTTTGGTGGAAAAAAACGATAATTACTACTGTAAATTAGATTCTGTTGTAGATCATTACACAATGGCAAGAGAGTGATACTCATCAGGACAATATAGGTTTATTTTAATTTAAAATTGATATAACAGTTTGTAAATGATTTTTAAAACGTATCCATCCATAAAATATTAGTTTGAAATGATAACTTTTGAACTGCAGTATGCTAAGTTTCTGCATTTAATTTTATTTTTCATCCGGTTGGTTATGGAAGTCGAAAACTAATTCACACACACACACACAGCATTTGTTATTTGGCTTATATGTATGAAATGAAAATCTGAAAGCGGATACAAGGCTTCTGTGCAAAACAGCAAAACAAATCACTGCGTCCAAAATACTTGTTTTGAAACTCGTATGTTTAGTTGGCTTTAAATTACATTTTTTTTGAACTGAAATTTTAGGTGTCCATGAAATAATTCACTGGTGACTAATTTTTATAAATTTAGTCTTTCATAAATTTCACTCTAAAAGTCAAAAGTTATTATTCATAATTTTGTTATAAAAAGTAGACAAATCGTTTTCTGTTTACAATTATTATATAATAATTTTGTTAAATTATTCATAAATTATAACTGCTTCGAAATGAAAACATTTTCAATTGATACCGGTGACAACGAATATTGGAAAGTATATTTAATGAAAATGAATAATAGTGTGTTAGTTTGTTCCATTCAAAGAGCAGTGTAAGACAACTTTTTCAAAAGCTTGTAACAAGCATGTAAACTAGCTTGTTAAATGGTAGGTTGTACACAAAATAATATTATCGTATAATTTAAAGTCATACTGGAATTTTATTGATTTAGAAATTTTATATTTAATCACAGATTCCAATCTAAATTATATTATTTTATTAGTTCACCATTACAAAGACATGGAAAATTCGTTTACTCTTGTTTTCCAACTTAATAAATACTCAATAGTTTTGAAGAGGTGAGTCGATACGTTATTGATTTATTTATTACGTCATACCTTGTTGACCGTTCAGCATAGATACACGGTATTTCGCTTGGTAAATTACACCTGTTTGACGATTGGTTGCTTCACATGTGTAATTGCTCAATTCACTCGGATCTTCAATCTTTCAGAGGATTGTGTTATGATGATGCAACATTTAATTTTTTTGTTTAAATAGATTATATCAGATTGATATGACAACCGATGTTAGTAGATATGTGATAACAGTGAGTGAGTGAATGAATGAATGACAATAATGATTATGATGATGATGATGATGATGATGATGATGATTACAGTATAAGTAATTAATATGAATGAAATGAGATGAGATGATCACCGAATACATGATGATGATGATGATTGATATAAGGAAAGAAATCGAAAACAAATTGGTAAAATATTTTGGTTAGTAAACTCAGTTATTTCAGCAATTATAGAAAATACAATATTGAATAACAACAAATGCGACAACGATCACAATGACACAAGCAATGTCGTTGCCCAAAATAATGTTAATCATGCAGACTAAATTATGCAAAACACCGACAGTTTAGTAATAGGTTAAATTAAGTTTATAAAAATTGGTTAGGAAAGCTAATATTGTTTTAATTAGACACTATCATTGTTTATCTGAAGAAAATGTAACACCCTGTATACCAATCAGATGTATATGATCATAACAATTTGAAAAGAGATATAATTCGAAAGTTTAAATATACTTATTGAATGATTTCATCAGCAATCTGACCGTGATCTCAATACATGGAAGGTAGTAGTTCAGTTACTTACAATTGGTTAATAAGTGAGTAGTGATCAATGTCTTGTACACTCAATCCTTTAGTGATGATTGAGTTTTATCAATCAAGTGACGGTGGGTCAACCATTCAAAGTGACTCATTACTAGAATGACGATCGATAGTGACTGGAGTAGCTCTATGGTAAAATGTAGAAGTATGAAGCTGAATAAGATAGATCTGAATACTACGGGATAAATCTATTCTCCTTTGACTGAAGCTATTCTTTGTTGATAATTGTTAGCAACCACCAAACTTAAGTCTAAGATTTCCTTTCGTCTACTTCAAATAACCTGACAAATATTTATCTATTTAAATATTACTGTCTGCTTACAGTATACCAGCAATTTTATAACAGAAATTGAATCCGGTAATTTACAAATGAAATTTAACTATTTGATTGTTCCTCTTTCATTTTGAAATATGTGCTTCTGGCAAATTTAAGTGAACTTAAAAATAATGTAATAATTCTTGTGTAGATAAAAAGTTACATTCTATGTAACTGTTAATCTTCTTTCAAAGATAAACTATGATAAAAAGCATAAAAACAACAATTTTGTCCGTTAAACTTCCAATTTTCCGATTATTGTTCAATTGAAAAACTCCAACATACAGTCGATAATGCATTAATTTTTAAAACTGACCGAACAAATCTAACTGTTTCTGAAAATATTTGTTAGTGTTATTATTTTCATGAAATGATGATCTATACAAAAATTTAGGTTATTCAACTGAGCAAACTCTGTGATAAACATTTTACTTTTAAATTTGCGTTAACCAGAATATATATACACAAAGATATGAACACTGTTAAATGATAGATAAACCCACCAATAAATACAATGTACCATCCTTGGACACAATACGACCATTTTGATCGATCCAACGAAAATCGTACAGCCGATTTATATCAGGATCATTTTCAAATAAACACTGGCGCACAATAGTTCCTCGACGAAAATCTTCATTCGGTAATGGTTTGATGGTTAAATTTAATGTTTTATATTCATCATCAGTACTTAGATCACCTGATGATGCTGAATAATCAATAAAACACATTCTAATATGAAAAATCATTCTTTGTTGTTGTTGTTTTATTTAATTTTTACAAAGAAACAAACATTGATCTACAACAACAATAAACTGTGATAATTTTGACGAAAATGAAAAAAAAAAAACAAACCGTTTAAATAACCGATATTTCTGATTGCCTGTTTTATGGTTAAGAATGAATGATTTCATGCAATTCTTTCATGCAGTTAGTAGAATTACAAATGAATTATGCGCAGATGAATGATTACATTTTTTGTAGATTTGTTTAAATGAATGAAATATTTTACTTAAACGTATTAATGTATAATGTGTCTTTCTAAAACATTCACACCATGAAAAAAATGTCTTCTCAAGAAACAGTAGTAGTAGTTAATTCGTATGCAGTTATGATGCATTATCATTTAATCTTATAGCTTGAATCAAATCAATTAAAGAAAAAAACATTTTTTTCCTCAGTTAGTGTTAGTACCATGTTTGTCACAGATATGCTTGTTGTATATATACAGTTCATGTTATTTCAGTAGTCTGTTTCAAGTCAAACATATTTCTATATATGTATAGTATGTATTGACTAGACAAAAGCAAAGCACTGTCTAAAGTATATTTATTTTAACTTCATGAAAAAAATTTTAATTTTCGTGATTGATTATGATAACCTAACATACTGTGTCAATCTTTATCTTAGTAAACAATAACATTTGAATTCAATTCATATAAAACAATTCAACCAATGTGTAAATCTGCGATACAATTTACTTGGAATATAATCTAGATTAGTTTTATTATAGTAAAATTACAGAATTTAGAAATAGTTTTCAAAATGTTTTCACATGAAGTTTACATTATTGAATTATATGTCAATCATAGGATACATTTTGAGTCATAATTTCACTATTATTGCATAATTCAATGATAACTGATTCGAGAAAAAATTGTTAAAACTATACTTTGATCGATAAAATATGGAAAGAGAAAATTCTTTAACATGTAGAAGAAGAAGAACAAAAAATCTAAGTTGATTTACTAGTCGTCCAGGTTAACAAGTGGGCTGTTCAATTGAACGAATTAAAACAAAACAAATTTAACCACAACAAACATTTTAAACTATCTGGTTTAAATAAAACATAAATAGTTTTAATATTTATTTATGAAATAATGTTTAGCTTACCAAGTCGAAGATTTAAAACTTTCTCAAACGTTTCATCATCGGATAATCGAGTCACTTCACAACGTATTGGATATTCCAAATGTTCAGGTCCAAAATTTGTGATATAAAGTCGAGCGTCAGAAGATATCTCTTTTATAGTTCCATCAGGTGCACGTTGAATCCATCGATAAGAATATTGTTCACTGTCAAGTACTGAACAACGAGAATATAGAACTTCGCCAAAATTCACATCCAATGGTCCAGGATCTCCTGGATTCAGTACAATCGTAGGTTCAGACATTCTGTCACCACCAGCCATTGAAATATCATCTTCTATAATCCGATAATGCAATAAACAGCATAGAATGTAAGGAAATTGATATTGTTATCACAACACTGAAACAATAATGCTGACAATAGTGTTTATAGTTCTATGCTTTTGATATAAAAGCCACAAAGTAAGTGTTTTTTTTATATCTTACGAGACAGTATAATTACATAGATATTTCAAAAGGCGCTTAGCTTAAAAATTACCAATTATCAAATCATTTTTACATTAAAAATTAGAAAATATAAAATTTTGTTTTCGAAGAAATGAAATTCTTTTTGCTACTCTTTGAAATATTAATCAGTTACCATTAATCTTGTAAATATATTCATCATATTTGTTAAATAGAGTTCTATCTCAAACTAAAACTACCTTATATTAGAACATGAATACCATTTAGGTGAACATCAGAATAAAATGTTTTACTGGAATTACATCAGTGTGTTCCAACAGAATGCATTACTCACAAGAAGTTCTGCTTTCTATAGGCAGTATGACAACAAAAATAGTTAAAAATATGTATTGCAAACTTCAATAGGTTACTGTCAAATACGGGACAATCGTAATACATGACTAGGAAGGATATAAAGGATGCAGTACAACTCACTTGACTTCCTATTAAAATTAACCGATGCACACCAAAACTGTTGTTCATTGTTCATGATTTTTTTTGAATAAAGAGCTTTTAAACAAATTTATGATAATCACGAAATACATGGAAGATAACTCTTAACAGGTGTTTAAAATTAATTTAACAACAGTGATATATTCTAATTGTATATAATGTATTCAGTAGCTTTTTGTCCCATTAACGTGGCCATTAACTTTTGATTATCATATATATATATATATATATATATATATATATATATATATATATATATATATCACTTAAAAGGTTCTTGTTTTCTGTGTGTTCACTAGTTTGTCTAATGTTCAATAATTAAGTGATGGGGACTACGCTGTTTTTAAAAGTCATTCATTAATATTCTCAATAAATGTCGTTCAAATCCAAAGGTTACAACGGATAAGTATGTTGCGTTTATTATGTTTCCATGCTACTTACTATCTCACAACCTATATTATTTCAAAATAACCAGCAATATTCTGCTTTATTTTAGGATGCTATTTTATAAACAAAAGCTATTTTTTAATACCTATTTCACCAAAAAAATGATCAATACTTTAAGAGTAAGCCGAAATACTCACTGCCATCTCTTTCGGTTATTCTAACTCAATTCACTGCCCATTAGGTTTGACATCGTTTTCTCTACAGTACTATTCTCGTTCAGTTAATTCATGCATTCAGATTTTAAGATAATCAAGTTAAAAAAAGGAAGGTCATAATAGTTTTATTTCAGAAAATGCATACTGTAGAAATTCCACTGTATTTTTCAGTAAAATACAAACTAAAAAGTGTAAAATGAATCATGATATGACTTTTGGCAAAAGGAAAGAAAAACTATATATGCGGTAAAAAATTTATTTCTATAGGTTTGTGCACTTTTTTTTATCAGCATAGTTATTTATTATCTATCACTGAAGACTTTCTATTCAAGCATACAATGCGATTTGAATTCTTTTATTTTCCCGTCTAACTGATAATCGATTTTTGCTTGGCAACGTAAAACCTATTGTATGTTTTTTGATATTTTAAACAGTAGTTGTTTATAGTGTCTATACATTTGATGTAAATGTGAAAATATCAGGAAAATAAATGATTTCTTTGCAATTTTTCTTAGATGAGATGATCGATAGTTTGTCAGCTTAAATGAATAAATACTGTAAATCTGCTGATTAACAGAATTTCCACAATCCATCTATTCTTATTTTACAGATTACTATTCGATTTATAGCTAACAGTTATCTGAGAGTTTATGCAAAAATATGTCTGTTCTAAATTATCTTTTATAATTAGTTACTTAATGAAAATAATATAGAGTAGTTGAAACGATAACGTCTCATTAACTAAGAGAGATGACGAGAACTTGTCACATGAAAGTAGTGAATTGGAGAAATGATTGAATGAAAGAGACTTGATTCATCAAACTACCAGTCCGTAGGTATTTAAACGAACTAGTAATGTGAAAAGTACTAAATAAATTCACTGAAAGTGTACACTTAAAATAATTTTTGAATACCGTTGGAATCAAATAATGTAAGGATAAGTTTCATAAGAGTTTACGTAACACCTCTGTTAGATTATAATCTATCCACTAATTGTCACTTATCTGTCTTTGACAGTGATAAAGTTTGGTTAAATAATCTATGTTATTTTCTATATTTTAGGCGAATAATTTAATATATAATTTGAATTATTATCTGTTGACAGATGTTAGAATACCTACTTTGATTGCCTATAAGCATAAATATAGTATTTATAATCGGAGTGTATGCTACATTTTTTCTCTAGATAGTTTTCCTCCATTTGGAGATTCTTTGCCACCAGAAATTCACATCGCCTAAAGAAATAATGAAATCTAAGGGCCATGTAATAGGTGTTTTGTTTTAGGCTGGAATGTCTATCAATAAAGTCAGTCTAACAATTACTTCATAAATCCATAACTATGAAGCAGTTCAATTATTTAAATAAACTGAAGTGTAATTTACAAAATAATGACTTTGTCTCTCCAAAATAATATTACTTGAAATTCAATGTTCTATAACAGTGAATGGAATTATTTCAAACATCGCTTAATTTGTACATTGCCGAATAGATGTTAATTAATTATCTGGGTACATGATTATCCTTTTTAAATCTAATTAACAATTCTAATTACATATCCACTTACTGCTTCACTACTAATCCAATCTAGTAAGTTAATGCACAAAAAGTAATTTTCTTGAAAATTATTCGATAAAAGTGTTTGAAAAAAAATGGAATAAGTAAAGTAAATTTTCATGCTACATGACATTTGTCTAAAAATGTACAGATCTTTGCAAAGAAAAAATATTGTAAACTAGTTTCAGATAGAAAATGTTAGTTAGTAAACTAATTTACATTGTTATTTGTTAACTAACAATCTTACTGATATAAATGTATAAAATAGAATCCACTTTTCATATGGTCAAAATATATGTTGTACAGTGTAGGGTTTTTTAAAAAGGGATTAGATTTAATGTTATTTACTTAGTGTAAATATAAAGAATGCAATATCAAAATCTCAATCCACTTACAAAACCAGAATATGGAAAGTGTTCGTTATTAAATCATAAAAGCCAGCATTTGTAAATATTACAAGATTGGTCACATGGTGAATGGGAAATTTTCAAAGAAAACGTGATAAATAAAAGTGATTTTAAAAACTCCCTTGTTGAGGCGGGCAAAAAATATGTTTCTAGCTATTCTCATACTCTATTTTATCCCAAATTTATGCCATATTTCAAGAAGAATCGATGAACTCCATAAAAACAGTTCCATTCACAAGTCTAATCAAGTAGAAATCTCACTAAATTATAGCATCTGACAAACATTTTGAATAACTCAAATCTAGCTCATTTCAATTTATTTCAATAGCCTATACTGAAATTAATTTTAGGGCGATAAAGTTGTTTTAATACAATTAAAATGTCTCATTATATTGTCTTCTGAAATTAACTATTTCATGCAGTTAGTTTTTAAATCTCACTAAATGATTTCTTAGAACTTTTAAAACTTTTAAGAAAATGTACAATAGTTTCTAATGAGACTTAAGTCATTTTTAAAAAAAGGAAAACGGATGTCTTAGTAACATTATTAAACGTATAGCCTGGTTTAAACATTATCACTGTCCTACATAATAAATCAAACTAACAAGGATATTTGTTTGTAAATTATTTTGTTTACATTCTTAAAAGGACTTAAACATCTGACCAAACACTAAATAACTTATGAAATAAAAATTACACATTAAAGTGTATTTAATTCAAACAATGTTTCTCATAGATGATATTTCATACAATCTGTATTATATACGTTTATGTTGTCGTCAAAACAATTTATTATACTAATGCGAATTTAGCATAATATTTAATAACATTTTGTGAAACCAATGACTTTTCCCAGTCATTTTCACTTATTGTCTTAAATCGTTTAGTTTTAGCACAAAATAATAATACTACATTAAAAATTAATCAGTCAACGCTTTAAAAGATATACAAATGATGGGAATACTTACCGATGATATCACGTTGGCCACTTATCAATACAAAATAAAATACCGATAAATATAAGGTATTGTGAATCAATGTCAGCATCATTGTATTCATATAGATAAATTTGAATGAATACACACTTTTATTTAACTGTTTATTGTATTATATATCTTAGATGTGATTACGAAACTGAAGTAATTTATTTTATATCAAGAAATGTTGTTCCTTAGAGTTTTCACTGCACAAATGTCTGAATATGATGACCAATAGAAATTGGTATTTTTATCAATTGGTTAGCTGATAGGATAATCTGAACAAAACATAATGTACCGGCCGGTGTTCGAAAATCAATCAGCATTGTCTTAAACATTTGTGCCTATCTGTGTAATGTGTGCATACATGTACAACAATTCATGATTAAACGACTTTCTGGTTGGTTTAATATAAAATTAATCAGATAATTAAAGAATATTTCTAGTTTGAATGTTAGAATTTGGAGTATTTGACAAATAGCGTCTTTTCAATCAGAAAACAGAGTTATTAGTCATCGTGTAGGAAAATTGGAATTTGAACATACTTCTTTATGATATATTTTGCATATGGCATTAAAACTAAGTAAAATGCTATCGTATTCTAAATCAATACGAATAATATAAGAATATTAAACTAGTTCTGCTTTGAATAGTGGAATATTTGTGGGATTTTCTTTGATCTTTTTCAGATAATCAAAATGGAGTCTTTTTGTTAAAAGAGTTAATCCGTAATTATTTATTGACAATATCGTTAGAGAAATTAGGGGATTCGAAATTCGAAATTTCTAATGATTGTTGTACTGAGGAAAGATTATTTTTGAAATTATCGTAATATTTCA